GTAAATGAGCTGCAGTAGCAAATGAAGAATATGTTGCCTCAGATTTAAAGCCACTATGCATCATGCCTTTTCTGGTTGTAGGAGGGCAGATGCCACAGCTTATTCTTCACCTTAGAGGGGACATCTCAACAGGCCCATATCACTGGCAATTTCACTGGGGCTGAAGGCCCCTTCATTTTTGTCAGAATTATTTCCCAACCTCTGGCATGCAAATAAATATCTTATCCGTATGTCGACTAATTGCTGCTACTTCTCGTGAGGTCCAAGTTACACCAGTGTAATGGATCAGGCATGATGGTTTGAAAGGGAAAGTGATCAAGGTCCCTAAGAACTAAATGATGACCTACGGCTGGAAAGTTGATATATACCTTTGAAGTAGGAGTGTGAAAGTGTATTGCTAGTTTCGCCAGCTGAAAACAAACTGTTTGGGTGGTTTTCATTAACATATATTGAGGGAAAATGCATTTGCCAGATTAATAGCCGCATGCCAGGTACCAGAGGATATGAGAGTTTGCTCAAGCGGGCCGCTGCAGCTGGGAAGTGGTGTTATGGGTAGTTAGAGAGGTGTGAGTGGGCAGGAGAGGGCTCTTCCCCCACCCACTAGAAATGTCGGGTGATGATGTCAATTTATCGCATTGCCTCTCTAAAAATGATAATTTTGCAGCCAGGGAGAGAGAAGCTCCTGATGGTCCACACCTGTTAACATTAAAAGTGTTAATTGAATGCAGGTTCCAGGGAGACACAACTTCCTGGGCATGTGTGTTAAGAGACAAAAATGGGTGAAGTATGATCTTCCAGGGACTCACTCCACCTGAAAAACCAAGAAAGCCTCACTCAGATGGGCATGCATCTAACTCCCTAAACACACTGCACATGTTCACTTCCCAAGAGTAAGGAGCGGGCAGCCCACCCTAAGGGAAGAATCATGAGAAAGAGATGAGCTTATGAAAGTCCTAGGATCAGGATTAAATGGGGCACTTCCTTCTCTTTAACCTTCAGGTGACCACTTGTGTCTCTTCCAAGCGTACCTTCCTTTCTCTCCCATTCTAAGATCTTTCTAAATAAATCTTCAACTCCTGCTCTGGAACTTGCCTCAGTCTCTTTCTGCTTTATGCCCCTCAGTTAAATCCATTCTTCTGAGGAGGAAAGGACTGAAATTTTGATGGCCCCTTACAGATAGGCCACCAGTAACTTGGGGTAACTCAGATCTTTTCCACTGGTAACAGTAGGGCAGGTGTGTAAGGCCACAAGCACAGCAATAGCAGAAATCAATATTTCTGATTTCCTCCAATCTGTTCCTTTTCTCAGTTCCTGTTCAGAATGAAATAGTCATCATCTAGACCTTAAACCTGGGGTAATTCTGGGCCCCTCCACCTTCCTTAACTTTCATATGCAATCAGTTACCAGCTTTGTAGATTTAACTCTGAAGATTATCTAGAAACTGTCTTTTCTATCCTACCTGATACTGACGTAGTTACATCTCTTGTCACCTCTCTCTTGGGATATTGCACTGCTGCTGGTCTTACTAGCACCCCTTCTCCTCACAACCCATGCAGTTACTTTCCCTGCATAAAATATTTCAGTAGCTCCCCATTCTCACAGGATTGTGGCCCAGACTCATGCGGAATAGCTTATAGGTCCTCTAAGATGCCAGGCTGCTTCCTTCAACTGGAAGGCTTTCGCTGTACTGTAGTGAGCCAGCTCCACCTCCTGCCCCACAGACCAGCACCAATCATGTCTCCTTATCTTTCAAAAACTCTTATAAGACCTTACTCAAATGTGACTACTTGGAATTTCTTGACCATGCCTTCTTCCCCTTTTCCTTCTCCTATCTTGAAGGCAGGATGGCCCTCAGAATAGACCACATCTTCTTTCACAGCTCCTCCTTATTTAGACAGAATTCAGCAACAGTGTCCATATTAATCATTTATATTTTACTTTAAATTTATTTTAATAAACAGAGAACATTCATATAGTACTGTTGTAGAAAATTGAAGTAATACAGATAAACCAAAAGGCACTCCTGATCTAGTTTTCCTAATCTTATTTTTGCAAATTAGACTAATTATATATACTAGTATATACTCTTATATACAGTGTTTGCTAATTAGACTGTTATTCCAGGCTTTTTTCACTAACACATCTTGGAAATATTGCCGTGTAAGTGCAAGCATATAGACCCATTTCTGTACAGAGTATAATTGCCAGAGTATTCCCTAGCATTGATGCTTTGTCATTTATTTAACTCTTCTACTAATTAATATTTTGTTTTTCCTTCTAGTTATTTAACAGGAGCTTCATCTCATTTCCATCTGGCATATCATAATTCTCTCTCTTCTCTCCTGGTGTTTTACAGTAGCAAACAGTGCCACAATGAATATTGTTTTGTACACCTTCTTATGTACAAATGCCAAGGACTTATTTTTTTGAAAATACCTAAAAGTAGAAATTCCGGATAGAAGATGTACATATTTAATTCTACATATCCTTGGCACACTTTTGTAGTTGATAGTCCTCTCTTCTCATATGTTGGTAAGAGTTCGTTGTATGTTCTGAGGAATAGTCAGTCTGATATACAACACAAAGTGTGTGTGTGTATATCTATCTATATATATACGCACACACACATATATATATTACCCATCTTGCCTTAAAATTTGGTTTGTGTCTTTTGCCCTGTTTCATATTTTTATGCAGTACAGTTTATTGTTTATGGTTTGCATTTGTCTTAGGAAGATTGTCCATATGCCAAGATTTATGTATTTTTCTCTTTTTGTTCGGTGGTTTGGTTTTTTGGTTTAGCTGTTTATATTACTTGGAATTTAGTTTTGTATATGTTAGAAGTTACTACCTAATTTTCTTTATTTTTCCAAATTGATAGGCAATTGTCCCCTTAATTCCTACCCCAAATTGAAATGTCATTTTTATTAACAAAGTTTCTAAATATAAAAATTCATGGGTCTGTGTCTGTATCTCGTATTAGGGTTTTCTTGATCTTGTTGCCTATTTCTGGGTCAGCACCACACTGTTCTAGTTATTAGAGTCTTATCATATATTTTGCTATCTAATAAGAAATTATTCATTTTTTTAGCTGTCTTCTACTAGATGTTTAATGGATGGGACTGAGTCATTTGTCTGAATTTTAAGACCTTTTATATAGTTTGCATCTGTGTATGTTAGATGATATAAATAAATAAACCCAGAAGCTATTGGTACTGCCCTTTGTATTTTCAGAGTCTCAAGAAGTTTATGATGAAAACAGCTTTTCAGGTTTTTCTTCTTTGACAGCTTAGTACTTGGAATGAGTTATTTCATAAGAATCTTATTTATTCAAAACCAAATTAAATAATGCATATGTGATATGCAAAGCTCAAAAGATACAAAAGGGAACAGTCACGTCCCCTAGTCCTTAAAAGGCAATGATACTACCAGTTTCTTATTTAACCTGCCAGAATGGTCACACATCATTCATCCCGTTCTGCACCTTGGTGTTTTCATTTAACAGCAACATCTTGGAAATCATTCCATATCAGCACATATGCTGTTTATAAAATGGGTGTGCTACCATTTACTTAACCTGATGGCAATTCATTTATTTTAGTAGATACTTTCATATGTATACTTTCTCGCATATCTAGAATAAAAGTCCTGCACATAAAATTGGTGGGTCAAGGGTATTTAAAATTTCAGCTTTGATTTATATTGTTAAATTGCCCTCTAAGAAATTCCTTGAAATGCCATGAATGAAGACCCTGACGTCACTTACCACCAGGCTTCAGACTTGCTCAGACGTGCCCAAGTACCACAGGGAACACCATAGAGGCTGCAGCTGGGACCCCAGTAAAGGAAGTGAGTGGAAGTGTGTGTGCGTGCACCTATGAATGTGTGTGTGATGTACATAGTAGGAAGTTCAGGGAAGACCTGTAGGTCAATGAATTCGAGTCCTGCTTAAAGCTTTAGTAATGAGTAGTAGCATTAGTGGTTTGCATAAGGCTCTTTTGCCTCATTAAAACTGGCAGTAAATAATAGGTTTGAATTTCACAGTCATGCTAATTGAAGCACAGAGCATTTCTTAACATCATGAATTATTATCCTTACAACATGAGCATAAAGGGAATTTGGTTTTATGAATTGCTAACTGGGACACTAGCCTCTGTTTGGGTCTTGGACTGATATAGAGGGAAGAAGGCTGGTAATCACATCATGAAACTGGAACACTGGCTTACAGGTTGGGTGAGGCACAGCTTACTCGATCTTACAATATCATTCCTACCTGAAGTCGGCTGGGATACCTGCACCAGCCCAGATTAAATAGCCCTTCTTTGTCCCCATTAGCAACAGCCCATGATGTTCAGAGGGAAAGAGATTTTTGTTTCTAAGTAGGAAGAGGGCTTTGCCTATGGGGCAGGAAGCTATTTTTGCTACAACATCTTAGCAAGTTGGTGCTAGTTTTAGATTGTGTACCCCCCCGCCACTTGATCTCATTTCCATCTGGTACGTCATGTTTTTCTCCCTTCTCTCCACTCCTGCCCCTACTAATGTTTGCCTTTTTTGGGTGGATCTTTTCTTTCCTTGGCGTTTCTTTCTCCAGACAAAGAGAAGGAAAATGCCAAGTGTGCCTCCTTGCTTTTTACTGTGACAGGGAGAGAAAAAAAAGATGAACCTTGTATCTTTTTGGCTTTCTAGTATCTCCTTCCCCTATTTTTACAGCTTTTTGTGAACGCTGTCATCCCTAATGGGAAAGGGGGCATCTGTGCCCCTCTGCTTGATTCAGGCTTCTCTTCTCTGGGACACGTCCCCAGCCCATCCCTGCTCTCTTCATTCCTTCAGTGACTTGTCCTGTTAGCCCCTTGGCTGCTTCTGGCCCACAGGATCTCATCTCCCATATATTAGCTTTCAGTGCCTGCTTCAGCCAGCACTCTGAGTACAAGAGCTTAGAACCACCAAGTCACCTGGAAAGAGAAAATGAGTTTAAACAAACTATTAGCCAAACACAATCATACTTTATAACAAAAATTTATTAGGATTAAGTCAAATTAGAAAACGTCATGTTCCACCACTTGTCATATTCACCTGAAATGACAAAATTATACTTAGCTTGAGTATAAAACAACTTGTGCCCCAGAGATTCAGTTTGGAAAGCAAAAAAACGGATGCACACAGCGGTGTGCCTGACACCACCACAGTGAATGTTTAAGGCCTAACTGTGTTCAGCGAAGCATACATTACTCTTAAGCTTTGGGTCCAAGGAAGGTATCATGCCCTACTTCCTTCAAAAGCAGACTCATTATAGCCTGGGCACCTAGGCCTCGAGCCTACTTTTTAAAAGTCTAATATGAACATCTGGATTTCAAGAGGTGCTAGGCTTGAGGTATCTTTATGGCTTAAAAGGCACAAGTCATGCAGCTGACTTAAAAGCTATCGTGTTGATCTCTGGAATGTAAACCAGGAGCCATGCCTTGTAAGGGGGAGTCCTGAGGCCCTGACCCTGGCTCCTCAGGGTAACTCGCACATCATTGGCTCTACCCCTCTCGCTCTGCTTCTGCACTGCTTCTCAGCCGTGGATGCTGGAGTTGGAGGACAGGTGAGGGCTCCTGCACAGTCTGCTGCCAGGTAGAGAGCAGCACGGTCTGCAGAATCCTACCTTCCAGCATATGGAGGGGGACCTGCTGCACAGCCAGGAAGAGACTTGCAGCAGACAAAGATAGGAAGGCTTGTTCTTCAGGTACACTGTGGTATGGGAGAAGAAAGCTGCTTTTTTGGAAGAGTCCTACCAAGCTTGAAAGTGGTGCTGCAGTTAGTGCAAGGCACATCCAGCCCCAGGCAACCCCTTTGCGCAATGGGAGAAGTAGCATAAAAGAGATACCAACAAGAACAATAGGGTCTCCAACTCAGTGTGGCTGTGGGAAGCCATCAGCAGTGGGTACGGAACGCTCCTCTGGGCTCTGCCCTGGGGTCACTGAGAGCAAATGGGAGTCAAGTCCTCAAAATATGAAACTTACCACTTACTAAATTGCTGTACATTCCCTTCAGCTTAGGAGCAAAATGTTTACCCTCAGAAACTTTCTTACTTTTAAACTCTTCCCTAATGGAGGGAAGAAAATGCAGAAGAGAAGAGGAGGGCCTCGAGAGCAGCATATGCAGCAGAAATGCCCTGCAGCCCCGGCACATCTGTCCCAGCCTCCAGCAGCTGCACTCCTGACACCCCCGTCCCCACCCCAGTCAATCCAGTAATCAAAATGGCTGCTGTCAAAAAAGTAAATTCCGTTGCATAATAGAGAGGGATGATAATAAATTCTCATTTCTTCAGGCATCAGAGGATCCATGTGAAAAGGCCTTGATTCTAATTTATGCTCTTTAATACATTTTCCAGCCTCTTCCCTAGACTGCCTCATCAGCTTGGCTTGTAGTCCTCAGTGAGCCTTGCATTACTTGTGTTACATCTGTCCTCTTCATACCAATTAATTCAAGTGGGATTGACCCGAAGTTTGCTCAAGCTTGAGTTCATAGCCTCCCAGGCCGAGGTCTCCCTCATAAATGTTTTCCTTGCCTGGCGTCTGGGGCGAAGCTTTCTGGTCCAGACCCGGCCTTGCAGGAGGACTGCAGGGTGAGGCTTGCTCCTGGTAATTCATGGCTAGTTCATCCTGGTTTACAATGCATTCCACATCATCCTCTTTTAGCTGTTCCTGGTTGGGGAAAGAGAGAGAGGTCACTTCATGATGAAGGCAGAAAGCAATAGCAGTCCTACAATATGTCTTTGAAAAAATAGGATTATGCTTTCCTTTCCGTAACTGCCCTGTCTGGCCTTGGCTGATGTTTCTGCTGCAGGCATGGTGCAGTATTTCCCTGAGTCAGCATTGAGTACCTGATGCTGTATAGCCATAAGGGGTCTCTAGGCCTGAGGGTAAGGGGTGTTAAAGAGCATGCATTTTAAAACTCTCCCTAATGGAGAGTTTACATTCCTCCTTGGATTAAGGCTATTTCCACCACTGGTATTAACTAGGGTTGATGGGAATTAGGAGTTAGCGGAATCCTCTGATCTCAGAGTAGGGGGAGATTCTCAAGTTGGTTTTGTAACATTCCTACCTATCAAAAAATCCTTGAAACAGAGTTATTCCTACTTTTTTTTTTTTTTTTTTTTGAGATGGTCTCACTCTGTCACCTAGGCTGGAGTGCAGTGTCACGATCTCAGGTTACTTCAGCCTCTGCCTCTGGGGTTCGAGTGCCTCAGCCTTGCAAGTAGCTGGGATTACAGGTGTGTGCCACCACATCTGGCTAATTTTTGTATTTTTAGTAGAGATGGGGTTTTGCCATGTTGGCCAGGCTGGTCTTGAACTCCTGACTGCAAGTGATCCATCCACTTTTGCCTCCCAAAGTGCTGGGATTACAGGTGTGAGCCACCGTGTTTGGCCTCCTGTTACAGTTTACCTTAAAAGTGTGTCTTCTCAGCATATTTCTTAGGATGAGTATCACAAGGCTAGAAATGGCTGGAAGTCACCATAGTGGATAATGCCAGAAGCTAACTGGATCTGGCTAATAGTTTTCTCCATACAGAGGTTACCTTGAAAGAATTAAGATCCCAGTCTTCTCCCATTGGCTTTGGGAGGGCCATACTAAATTACTTGTAGAATGGGCCCACGCAGGGGGACTTTAGGGCAGTGGTTTCCGACTTTAGCCTGTCCCAGGACCACATGGAAGGCTTGTTAAAATACAGATCATTGTTCAAGCTCAGAGTTTCTGAGGCGGGGCCTGAGAGTGTGTATTTCTAGCAAGTTCCCAAATGAGGCTGCTGGTTTGGAGACTACTCTTTGAGATCCACTGCCTTACGCGTCTGCGTCCACAACACACCTGAGGTGAGTTTGTGTTTGTGTACAGGGGAAACCAGTTGGATGCTACTAAGGGCACTTGCAAACCTAAGACTGCACGCTTCTCCAATTCTCTGGCCTCTGATTTTGTTGGTAGTGATTCTAAGTGCCTCTCAGCATTTTTCATTCCACTCCCTTGAGCCATAAAGTACAGGCCTAATATCAAAACCTCAAAACACAGCAGTTTGTGAGGATGCTTCTTTTATATTTTCTAAGGTCATTTTATGGATAAAGATATTGGTAACAATAAAAAATTACATCTAAAAAAGAATAAGCCAACATCAGCAACAATTGACAAGAGAAATGCTTCCTGGTGCAGTGAATTTTAAAAATGCTTCCTCCTTTATCCTGCAAGTAGCAGGCTTTTTGAGGTTCCTGGGCTCATCAATATTCACCACGTCGGTCCCACAAGGGATAGTCCCTCACCCCAGAGGCCTGAAATTTACTTACCCCATAGGCTTTAGAACTGGTAAGCAGCCTGGAAATTGGACCACACCATTCAGGTAATGTTGTAGTCAGTGGAGGACCAGAGTGGGTTAAAATTGGCTTCAGATATCTAGGAGGTCTGTTAAGGAATGCTTGTCAAAAGGGAGTTAGGATTTAGGAATCTCACACAGCACAAACCTGTGTATGCTGAGATAGCTACATTTGCCTTTAAATCCCCTACTCATTTACTTAGGAAGCAATTTGCCCTGCAAAAATTGCTGCTTATAATCTTTGCTACACACACTTTTCCAGCCTTCCTGATAGCCTTTAGTCATGAAGAAATGCTGAATGGACCATGCTGTGTCAGAAGTGTAAATGTCCTCTTCCCGTCCTATCCCCCACACAATGCCCCATCTGCTTAGAGAATGCATTCTTAAGAATTACCTTAAACCGTAACATAAAAGATTGTATTTTCTTAAAACTGCACACACACATAGCTGAAACTGCCAGTAATTTTACAAAGATGCAAGAGGTATTTCATAAAATGTTCAGTTATTTTAGAACTAGGTAGTGAATTTAGACTGTTTTCCAAAATACTTAATTTTCACTATTCAACACAGTCACTTTATACTTCATACATCAGTGCATTTCTACACAAAATTATGTAAATGAGCTGGTGTGGGGTTTATTCTATTGTCTAGCACCTGTCTTATCTCTTCATCCCAAAGAGCTCTCACAAGTTAAGAGAAAAACTTGTTCATGTAAAGCCATTGTTTCCCTCCAATCTATCAACAATGAAATCCCCAGAGACTGCCTCAGCTTGCCTTATTTGAGTTCTTTTGCTCAAAGGAAAGCAGTGGAATTATTTTACCATTCCATCAGAAATGACTTTTAAGCTTTATATTATTTCCTCTGCTGGAGAATATTTCACTTCATCAACTTTCCAAAAAGCTATAATAAATAGGGAAAAGGAAAAAATGGAGAGGAGTCATCATTGGTTGGCTCGTGAAGATCCGCAGTCGTGCTCAGGCACTGAGGGCATGAAAAGATCTTGGAGATGGCTCTACTGGAGTCCATCCATAGCTGGACAATCCCCATGCCATTCTCATGATGCCTGAGCATGTGGGCACAGAGGGAAGATGCAGCCCAGGGGAGGCCAAAGAATCTGGTTGCTTCTGGCTGGATGCATTTGCCACCAAAGCAGGGGATGTGCCTCAATGAAGCCTTGTTATGATGTGAGGAGAGTGAATGCGAAGATGTTAGGAGGGCCTGCAATTCCAACTGCAAATAGAAAAGTTGATCCCTCCTTTCAGATGGGCAGCTGCTGTGCCCAGTTAGGGATCATTTCGGTCGCTCATGCTTGTAATCCCAGCACTTTGGGAGACTGAGGCAGGCGGATCACCTGAGGTTAGGAGTTCAAGACCAGCCTGAGCAAGATGGTGAAACCCGTCTCTACTAAAATACAAAAAAATTATCCAGGTGTGGAGGCAGGTGCCTGCCATCAAAGCTACTCAGGAGGTTGAGGCAGAAGAAATGCTTGAACCCGGGCAGTGGAGGATGCTGTGAGCCGAGACCGTGTCACTGCACTACACCCTGGGCAACACAGCAAGACTCCATCTCAAAGAAAAACAAAATTAGTTGAATTAATGAAGGCAACAGGCTCAGTGAGGGTAAATAAATTGTTCAATGGAAACTGCTGATGAGTTTACAGCAGAGCTGGGTCTGAATTCAGGGACTCTTCTATCACACTATGCCATCCTCCTTCTGTTACAAAGACAGTGAGTAATGGGACTTGCCTAATTGGATAACCGATTTGGAATCAGGGACTTCCTGAGCTCTTCATTGCTGAGCAATGTCTGGATCTCTAGGGATACCTGAATTATTAAAAAGTAAGAAAACTCTTTTGATCTATTAAAAAAAAAACTCAACTGCAGATTTTGGAAAATGTGTTATTTTTCTCATCGGCTTCCAGAATGGGGAGGGAGGGTCCCCATAGGGTATTTTTAATATGACTAGTTTTGCTTCTCTAATAAGTTAGAAATGCATTGAGACAAAAAATGTTCAGCTATGGGGGAAAAGCAATGACTTTTCTCATCTTTAAAGGGCATAAGTTTGAGAAAGCAGAATGGTTCAGGAGATGTAAGTAAAAGCTGGAACTCTACCCAGAATTTAACTTGTGTGAAATAGGAAAGACAATTAGCAAGTGCATTTTCTCCTTTGGTCTGGGCTAACAGCAGGTCCAGAGCTAAATTTGGTGTTTAACTGAATAACATCCCAAATACCTGGCAACATTGATTTCTCTCTTTTGTTGTTGTTTACTTTAAATCATGTTTGTCCACTGGGTGTGGTGAACCAGTGGGTGCACAGCTTGCTTGCTTAAGCCTGTGGTTTGTATGACGTGTCTTTGCACAGGTTGGTGAGAAGCAAAAACACCAAAGATCCAGCTTCACAAATGAGCACCTGCTCCTTTGAAGGACCAAAACTATTGTACCTATGTGGACTGAATGTTTGCATCTCCCCACCCTCCAGCATAGCTAGGGCTATGTTGAAGTCCTAGTCCTCAGTGTGATGATATTTGGAGATGGAGCCATTGGGAGCTAATCAGGGTGGGGCACTTATGATGGAATTAGTGCCCTTATAAGAAGAAATGCCAGGGAGTTTGTTCTGTTTCTCTCCCTCTTCCCACCTTCTACAAAGAAGAGGTCATATGAAACCATAGTAAGAAGGCCACCATCACCAAGACCTGACCACTCTATTCTTCCAGTCTCCAAAACAGAGAAAATAAATTTATTTAACTCACCCAAACTATGGTATTTTGTTAAGGCAGCCCAAGTAAACTAAGACATAACTTTTCTTGGGCCCTCTTTAAATATCTTTGAGAACCTGTGGAGCTGTGTTCTATTTTTCTCTGAATTTGCCTTATCATGAAAACATCTAGAACATTTGTTAAAAATTCAGATTTTAAAGATTGCTCTTGGAGATTCTGATCCAGATCATCTGGGAAGTAAACTAAGACACTGCATTTTCAGCAAGCACCCCAGGTGACTGATCAGGTAAGTCTGGAACACAGTGATATCTCTGGAGTATTGCCCTCCATATTAGATTGAAATCTTAAATAGTAGACCATGTTCTTTTTGTCTCCTTATGTCCACAAGCCACCACTTTTAGGGTGAGGACAGGTATAAGGTAAGCCACAATCTCATTTGTCTCTGAACCCAGACCTATATAGTGGTCTCTGCCAGTTGTTGCATCTTGTCTGAGGGATGGGATAGATACTTGACTCAACAAAATGAATACTCAGTGTTATACTTGGGAGTGGATAACAAATGATCACATCTCAGCTTGAGGAAGAAAACTTTGTACCTATTGGGAGCATCTGCAAGTGTTTGTATATATAGACTTGATACATGGTCTTGTTATAAAGATAAAATGCTTGTCAGCACAGAAGAAAAGCACATTCATCTCTGTGTCGGATTTTCAGGAATACTCTCTTATACCTTTTCATTTATATAGCATTTCCATATGTCTTAGTTTCTCTTTGCACTTGTAGGTGGGTACGATAGTCCCATTTTACAGATCAAGAAATGTGTAAACAGATGGCTTTTCCATTTCCTTCTATTCTTACCTCCATTTCTAAAGTGCTTTTAGCTTCTAGTGCCAGCTTGCTACCAGAGATGGTCAGGGATCAGTGCCAGTGGGTGGGAAGGATAAGTGCATCCTGGGGTAGATGCCGATCTTGCTTTCCAAGTCTGTACATTCCTGCAGAATAACCAGGTCCCACTTGCTGTGCCTCCACACTGTTATTTACACAGCACATGGGAACAGAGCGAGCAGAGAACACCTCAAATTGTCCACATCCCATTGCTCTTTGATTCCAATATGCAAATTGCACCCCTTCCCTTTTGTTTCTCAGGAAATGTGGCCTAAACATTGTGCTCTCCATCTTCTTGTAGGATATGTCAGTTTCTGTAAATGGACATTGACTGTCTCGCCTTCTTGGTTAAAGATGTGAGGTGCTATTCTGGTGTTCAGGGGTCAGGTGAGGAAGGCTTTAAGAGTTCAACCAAGAAGCCTTCCTTAAGTTCTTCTATTTCTCTGTTCTCTCCGCTTAGAGAATTCAGGGAGGAATTCCAATTCTGTTTTGAGTGCTTGTAGAGAGAATGTGGCTGGGTGTAGGATTCTGTCTTTGCTGCAGCCACCCTATTTCAAGAAAAAGCTATCAAGATGGTACCTTCTCTTAGATTATCCATGAAGTTCTAGTTTAAAAACAAGGAAAAGGCAGAGACACTAGTTTATTCACATAAATACGTGAACATGTACTCCTTTGGCTGATAATTGTTACCTTTGTCAACTTAAAGGAAATTGCTCTAGACAACTTTAGGGGCAGAAAGGAAGCAACCAATGCTGCAATAAACACTGATGGGTACAGAGGGCTGCCTGAAGTAAGCCAGCAAGGAGTAACTGTGATGTGACCCCTGTAGCCTGGGCTGGGCTTCACTACTCCCATGTCATTTGGAGAACGGCTCTCTCTTCAAGGCCAGGCTGGTGTGTCCCTTCCTCCCAGGAGCCTCCTCGGACCTGCTCAACTGTTTCAGTGCCTCACTGGTTCCAAAGCAACATGTATATGCCTGTCTGACAGCATTGATCACACTGTCTTGAAACTAATTGTTGACCTCTCCATCTACTCTTTAGACTGAGCTCCTTGAGGACAAGAACGTGATCATATTTTTTAAAAAGTTTTATTGTAAAATAAAACAGGCAGGGCATATTGGCGCATTCCTGCAATCCCGGTACTTTGGGAAGCCAATGTGGGAGGAATGCTTGCGGCCAGGAGTTTGAGACCAGCTTGGGCAACACAGCAAGACCCCATTGCTATAAAACAAACCCCTCCCCACTCCAAATCCAACAGCGTGGGGGCATGCACATAAAGTCCTAGCTATTTGGGAGGCTGAGCTGGGAGGATCGCTTGAGCCCAAGAGTCTGAGGCTGTGGTGAGCTATATATCACACCACTGTATTCCAGCCTGGGTGACAGAGCAAGGTTCCCCCTTTCATGTCTCAAACCTCCCCCCATCTCCGAGATATAGCAGACCTCACAAATCCAATGTACAGCCTAATGATTAAGGCAAGG